ATGCGGCGCGGTGGTGGGGGGCGGATGGGCGCGCGAGAAAGAGGCCCGCGCTGGCGCGAGAACGCCATCCTGAACGACGGAGGCAAAACACCGATCCGAAAATGAGGCCCACGCTGCAGCGGGAGCACGATTCGGAACGACTCGGAGCAGAAATGAGGCCGGCGCCTCAGCGAGAGCAGCATTTTGAAACAAAAAACGCAAGCGAAAACCCAACTCCCGGGAATCCTGTGTAAAAAACAATACGCGGGGGGGGGGTCTACTACTCCCAGCACGCCATCAGGGGAAGAGGGAGAGTAGTATTCATATTGAGTAATTGTGGAGGAGGAGGAGGAGGAGGAGAGGAGGAGGAGGAGGAGGAGGAGGAGGAGGTGTAGGAGGAGGAGGAAGAGGAGGAGGAGGACGACGAGGAGCACTCCAGTGAAGGATTTTTACCTAACAGCGAAGACTCATAGGTTTCTAGTAGGGTCAAAAGAAAGCATCATGACGCCCCAGGGGGGTCTGGGCGCGATCCGGGGGAGGATGCCGGGGACTCATTTTTTAGTCAACAGTAACGCACTTCGTGGTCGTCGAGTTCCCAGAACTCCATTCCTGGGCATGATTTTGAATGCCCAGAGCCAACTGTAGGCCACTTCGTGTTCTCCGAAGTCCCAGAACTCCATTCCTGGGCAAAATTTTGAATGCCCGGAGCCAACTGTAGGCCACTTCGTGGTCTTCGAGTTCCCAGAACTCCACTCCTGGGCATGATTTTGAATGCCCGGAGCCAACTGTAGGCCACTTCGTGGTCTTCGAGTTTCCAGAACTCCATTCCTAGGCATGATTTTGAATGCCTGGAGCCAACTGTAGGCCACTTCGTGTTCTGCGAGTTCCCAGAACTCCATTCCCGAGTCACATTTTGAATGCTGAGGCAGGCTGATGCTGAGGCTGAGGCTGAGGCAGGCTGAGGCTGAAGCAGGCTGAGGATGAGGCCGAGGCTGAAGGCAGACTGAGGCTGAGGCTGAAGCAGGCTGAGGCTGAGGCTGAGGCAGGCTGAGGCTGAGGCTGAGGCAGGCTGATGCTGAGGCAGGCTGAGGCTGAGGCCGAGGCTGAGGCAGGCTGAGGCTGAGGCAGGCTGACGCTGAGGCCGAGGCTGAAGGCAGACAGGCTGATGCTGAGGCTGAGGCAGGCTGAGGCTGAGGCTGAGACAGGCTGATGCTGAGGCAGGCTGAAGCTGAGGCTGAGGCTGAGGCTGATGCAGGCTGAGGCTGAGGCAGGCTGAGGCTGAGGCCGAGGCTGAAGGCAGATTGAGGCTGAGGCTGCAGCAGGCTAAGGCTGAGGCTGAGGCAGGCTGAGGCAGGCTGAGGCTGAGGCCGAGGCAGGCTGATGCTGAGGCAGGCTGAGGCTGAGGCTGAGGCTGATGCAGGCTGAGGCTGAAGCAGGATGAGGCTGAGGCCGAGGCTGAAGGCAGACTGAGGCTGAGGCTGAGGCTGAAGGCAGACAGGCTGATGCTTAGGCTGAGGCAGGCTGAGGCTGAGGCTGAGGCAGGCTGATGCTGAGGCAGGCTGAGGCTGAGGCTGAGGCTGATGCAGGCTGAGGCTGAGGCAGGCTGAGGCTGAGGCCGAGGCTGAAGGCAGACTGAGGCTGAGGCTGAAGCAGGCTGAGGCGAGGCTGAGGCAGGCTGAGGCTGAGGCTGAGGCAGGCTGATGCTGAGGCAGGCTGAGGCTGAGGCTGAGGCTGATGCAGGCTGAGGCTGAGGCAGGCTGAGGCTGAGGCCGAGGCTGAAGGCAGACTGATGCTGAGGCTGAAGCAGGCTGAGGCTGAGGCTGAGGCAGGCTGAGGCTGAGGCTGAGGCAGGCTGATGCTGAGGCAGGCTGAGCTGAGGCTGAGGCTCATGCAGGCTCAGGCTGAGGCAGGCGGAGGCTGAGGCCGAGGCTGAAGGCAGGCTGAGGCTGAGGCTGAAGCAGGCTGAGGCTGAGGCTGAGGCAGGCTGAGGCTGAGGCTGAGGCAGGCTGATGCTGAGGCAGGCTGAGGCTGAGGCTGAGGCTGAGGCTGAGGCAGGCTGAGGCTGAGGCCGAGGCTGAAGGCAGACTGAGGCTGAGGCTGAAGCAGGCTGAGGCTTAGGCTGAGGGCTGAGGCTGAGGCTGAGGCAGGCTGATGCTGAGGCAGGCTGAGGCTGAGGCTGAGGCTGATGCAGGCTGAGGCTGAGGCAGGCTGAGGCTGAGGCCGAGGCTGAAGGCAGACTGAGGCTGAGGCTGAAGCAGGCTGAGGCTGAGGCTGAGGCTGAGGCTGAGGCAGGCTGATGCTGAGGCAGGCTGAGGCTGAGGCTGAGGCTGATGCAGGCTGAGGCTGAGGCAGGCTGAGGCTGAGGCCGAGGCTGAAGGCAGACTGAGGCTGAGGCTGAAGCAGGCTGAGGCTGAGGCTGAGGCAGGCTGAGGCTGAGGCTGAGGCTGAGGCAGGCTGATGCTGAGGCAGGCTGAGGCTGAGGCAGGCTGAGGCTGAGGCTGAGGCTGAGGCCGAGGCCGACGGCAGACTGAGGCTGAGGCTGAGCAGGCTAAGGCTGAGGCTGAGGCAGGCTGAGGCTGAGGCTGAGGCAGGCTGATGCTGAGGCAGGCTGAGGCTGAGGCTGAGGCATGCAGGGTGAGGCTGAGGCAGGCTGAGGCTGAGGCCGAGGCTGAAGGTAGATTGAGGCTGAGGCTGAAGCAGGCTGAGGCTGAGGCTGAGGCTGAGGCTGAGGCTGAGGCTGAGGCAGGCTGAGGCTGAGGCCGAGCAGGCTGAGGCTGAGGCTGTGACTGCGACTGCCGTTGCCACTGCGACTGTCATCGCGAATGCGACTACGACTGCGAGAACAGCAGAATTCTACAACTGGATTCTCATCTGAATCTTAAGGGGAATGCTTCCAGATATGCTCCTACACATCGCTGTTAGGTTGCTTTGCCGGGGTAATTTGATTAGCCATCCAAGTGGCACAGAAAGGGCAGCAGCCACGGAGAGAGTCAAAAGCCAACACCGTCATAGCTGGCCTAGATTGGAAGGAGGAGGAGGACGAGGCGGAATAGGTCCACATGCCCCCCCCTCCCCAAAAATCCGTCGTCACGAAATTTTCGAGACACGGGTCGCCGACCTCCAGGCCACTTCCCAAGGACTGTTTTTTCATCCCGAGTGTGTTTGTGACGGCCCCGAGGCCCGGCAAAGGCCCACAGACGCCCTGGAAACACCTCCCACGGTGGCAACTCCTGCGAGCCTCCCGCACCATCTTGTCGGCTCTTCCGACTCGAAGCCAATCGATGCTAGTCGGCGCTAACCAGCGCCAATCGGCGTTAAATCGGCGCTACCCCATCGATTGCCTACCCCGACGCTGACCGACGCCAGTCGGCGCCGAAGACGGACTTCAGAGGGCTCCGTCCCGCTGTCTGCTCGCGACGCCTGAGGACCTCGGAGCCTCCCCCCCCTCCGGAGTGGGCACGGAGGACACGGGCACTTGGCGGCGCGCAGAGAGGGGTAGGGGGAGGGGGGAGGGCTTCTTAGAAGGAGGCTGCTTCTTAGAAGGCGCCGGCTTCATATCTACAGACAAGGCCCGCACCTTCTAAGCAGGGGTGCTTCTAAGAAGCACTCCCCCCTCCCCCTACCCTCCTCTGCGCCTGGCCGAGACACGCTGTCCCACAACAAGTGTCATTCAAAAAACCGACAGAGGTCGCTGTTGGGCAGTTGGCCTTCTGCCTCAGATGGCCAGAGGCCGCGGCCTCGCCAACAACGAACCATGTTCAGAACGACGAAGAACTGCTGCTGGACTTTGCACCCAATGGCGGATTCCGGACACCCTGAACCCAAAAACGAAGCTCATCTCTTGGGGGCGCATCTTCCGCCGCCTCCCGCCGGCCTTCCGCCGCCTTCCGTCGGCGGCGGCCGCCTCGCTTTACTTCCGCCGCCTCCCGCCGGCTTCCGCCGAGGAAGAGATGACAACTCCTTCGACCCTCCAAGGCGAGGCCCTTTTTGGAACGCTCTCGTTGTTTCCGCACCCATCGGTCGGAAGAAACAGGTAGAAAGATGAAGTAGGAAGGCGGATGAAGCAGACTGGGTCCAGGCCCGTCCAGAGAGTCACAACACACAGCGAAAGCATGCCGATTCTTGAGTTAGGAAGGCGCTTGAAAATCTGGGTTCTGGGAATCCAGAAATACCCCCAGGACATGCGACGTCCTGACTTTTTCAGGACGGCGTTCCCGGAAGTCCAGACCCTTTCCCTGGGGCCGGTTGTTCATCCTGAATTAGGGGGCAAACAAACCTACCTCGCTTTTGACCACCCTCGCTTCCAAGAGATACCAAGCGATGCCAAACTACGGCTTGTACTGGTCAGGCCGCTTGACGAGGAGGCGCGTGGTATGACTTGGTTTTGCCTGGAAGCGAAAGCGGGGTAGGTAATTCACGCTCTGATGAATTGTTGTTTGACGGTCCCGAGGCCCGGGCGAGGGCCCCCCGAGGCCGATGCTGGCCAAGAACCTCCCGTCCTGATTTTTCTTGGCGGCGCGATCATGTGTGGGCCTACTTTCCACGACCGATGGGTGCCCACTTCGATCGCCCCGACGCTCGGCGTGTTGAGCAGGGACAGGACCGTCCCGGCATTCCGAGAGGCCTACCACGACATATTCCCAGAAACCCAACATGTTCTAACAGCACGGACAATAATACTCTCAGCACACGAGCCCGACGTGTTCAGACAAGCCAGTGCCGGCCAGGAATGCTCTAAGAGCACCTCGCGCAGACCAGGAAAGCTTCTTTCGGCGGTGGACAAACCTCCCTTTAGTAGACCTCCCCGTAGTGAGAACGGCCTGGGACCGAAACCGACGGACTGGGACCCGCCAAAATGGCGGCCGCGACGCCCTCTCGCGAACCGAAAACGGCCAATTCTTCAATCGACGTGTCAGGGTATAGGAGGTCTGTCCATCCCCGATTCTCAGAACCTTCCTCGGTAGGCCCGTGGGCGAGCTCCGACGCCTCGCCACCGCGGGGGCGGCGCGCGCTCTCCGGGCCTGCGGGTCTGGCAGCCTCGCCAGGCTCCCGCCGCTCTCGCCCGCCCGCGGCAGGTCCCAGTCCTGTCGGGGGCCCCCGCCCCAGGCGCTCCCGGACCTCCCCGTCCCCCTCCATCCTCCCCCCGCCCTTCCCCCGATGGTCCCTCTCGCCGCTCCCTGCTCCCCCCCCCCCTGGGCCGCGCACATGCCGCCAGCCATGACTTGCGCCCCCCCCTCTCGGACGCCCCCCTCCTTGGCCGCCCCCGAATGCTCCTTCCCCGCCCCACGTGTTCCCGGACCTCCCCCTTGCCCCTCCCCCGATGGTCCCTCTCGCCGCCCCCTGCTCGGCCCCTCCTCGTGGTCTCCTTGCGGCCGCCCCGGAACTCCAGGAGGCAGGGCTCGGCCCGAAATCACCGGGGGTCCCCAAACGGGGTGGTGACCACACCGTGCGGTGAGTCGGTGGGGACTCGGGGTCACCGCACGTCTTTGGGGCTCGGGCCGCTCTCCGAGGACGTCCCCGGCGACTGGGGGCGTCCGAGGCCCCAGAACCGTGCGCGGACGGACCGTGCGGCGAGGTCTTGGGGGAGGTCGAGGTCACCGCACGGTCTGTTTTCGTACCGTTTCGGGACTCCCAAAACCCTCGGACGGGAGGAGGCGCGGCACGGGCGCGCGCCCTCGGCCCTCCGCCCGGCCAGCCTCTCTCAGCGTCGCCCTCCCTCCCTCCCTCCCTCCCTCCCCCTCTCCAGCCTCTCCCCCCCCCCTCTCCAGCCTCCCCCCCTCTCTCCCTCCCCCCCCTCTCCAGCCTCCCCCCCCCCCTCCAGCCTCCCCCCCTCCCTCCCTCCCTCCCTCCCTCTCGAGCCTCCCACCCCTCCCTCTCCAGCCTCCCCCCCCTCCCTCCCTCCCTCTTCGCCCTCCTCCCGAGGAGCGGCCCAACAAAGCAGAGCCCCTCCTGAGCCCGAAGTGGTTCTTACTCCAGCGCCTTGACTGTCGAGGGAAACTGAAAGGAGGGGTCTCCTCCTCCTCCTCCTCCTCCTCCTCCTCCTCCTCCTCCTCCTACTCCTCCTCCTACTCCTCCCTCCTCCTCCTCTTCCTCCTCCTCCTCCTCCTCCTCCTCCTCCTCCTCCTCCTACTCCTCCTCCTACTCCTCCCTCCTCCTCCTCCGCCTCCCGCTCCTCCCGCTCCTCCGAACCCATTCCCCCTTCCAGGGTCGGCGGGGATCCCCCTCTCGGGCCTGAGCTGCATTGGGTCGCCAGTTCGGATCGGCAGCGGATGGGATCGCGGTCTGGATCGTCGCGTGCTCGGATCGGGGGGCGTCCTACGAACATCGGCGGCGAGCGAGGGGGGAATGCGAGAAGAAGAATACATTCTCAGAAAGGCGGCGCGGCTTCTCACAAGCCCCCGCGCCTTCTGAGAAGTCTTCCGTGTCTTCAGGGAAGGTTGAGGGAACTTCTCACAAGGCCGAGGGACTTCCGGACCATCTGAGAAGGCCCGCCCCTTCTCACTTCCCCCCCCCTCGCTCGCCGCCGCACTGAGGCCGACTCGCGGCGAATGCGCGGTCGGCTTCTCACCGCGACCGACTCGTAGGCGTTTTTCTGATTCTGGATTCCGACAACTGGCCGAGGGGCGGGGGAGGGGGCGGGGGTCTGGGTCTGGGCCTGGGCCGGTGCTCAGTCGATCTGCTTCTGCCAGCCGCGCAGGGAAGCCTTGCCATCGCTCGGACGTCCATTCCCCGTGCATTTTTCTGCTTCGTGCGTGTATTTTTCCCGCAAGATGGCCCGAACGGCTCCTCGATGGTCCGCGCCGAGAAAGAATGCCCACGTCCGAGCGATACCACGAGCCTTGGGTGAGGGGTCCTGGCGAGTGGCCAGAAACCAAACGCCACAAGTAGCCAAGATCTGGTCTTGGGGGGGGCACGAGGGGGGGAGAGCCCGCGCAGAGCGGCGACACAATACACAAGAATTCGGGTGAAGATAGATCGAGAATCTCTGAGATCCGGCGGCTCTGGAGGATGTCTCAGGAGCCGCGACCTTCTCATAGCGTTACGGAACGCTCTGAGAGCGTTCCGGAACGGATGTGTCCTCGTCCCGGCCCCGTCCGATATCCCCAGCTCTTCGCGCGATGCTGTCGCCCCTGGCGCCTTCGTGACCTGCGATGAGATGCTCTGGATCCTGCCCAGGACTCCCTGGAGAATCCTCGAGGCCCCCCTGGGCCAGGGATACCCTTGGTAACACCCGCCTACACTGGCTGCCAGCATGCCAGGTGCAAGCGCGTGTCCAAGTGGCGACAGCGAGAAATTGCTTCTGAGTAGTCTCGCTTCACGATGCAGACCTCCTCATGCTCATGCTCATCACAAACACCACGCTCCTCCTCCTCCCCCTCCTCATCCCCCTCCTCCTCCTCCTCCTCGTCGTTCTCGTCCTCGTCCTCGTCCTCGTCCTCGTCCTCGTCCTCGTCGTCCTCCTCGTCGTCCTCCTCGTCGTCGTCGTCCTCCTCCTCCTCCTCCTCCTCGTCGTCCTCCTCC